GAAGACCGACAGTGTCAGAGGGCAAACATCACCACTGTGAGTGACGGAGAATGATGGGACACTAAACTGAGCAATGAGGAACGGCAAAAGTTTTGAAGAAGAAGAAGAAGAAGACGAAATAAACGGGCAAAGTTTTCTCAACGGCAAAGTTTATGCTGTCGTGCGCTGCTTGATTAAACGTGTCTTTGTGTGTTTTTGCTCAGTTCAGTTTGTCTGCTCAGGAAACACAGGAAGAATGTGCCCGACGGACGGCAGTAAAAGTTGTGCTGTTTGCTTGTTTTACTTGATTTTTTTCTGCTCAGTTTTTTCAGCTAGGTCTCTGACCATTTGTGTTCATTTGTTTGTGTGTGCTGAACTTTAGTCTGACTGGAGCTTAAAAAACTGCGGTGACAACGGCAAAATCTGTTTTATCTGAAGGTTGGTTAGGCACACACACCACTTTTTGGCATTGATTTGTTTTGGTTCATTAGCGACGGTGAAGGAAAAAAGAAGAAAATGGGAGAGAGAGAAATAAAAGTGTTGGGTGCACTGCTTTTGCGCTAATTAGCTATGCTCTGTCTGCTGTCGCTGAAAATGGTTAAACAACAACAAATAAAGCTTTTGAACTTGCAGTAATTTGCCGCCTGATTTAAGCAGCTGAGCAAACACACACACACACACTTTATTTGGTTATTGGTAAGGCAAAAGTGCTCACATGGCTCACATAACTGTGATTGACCGATTAATTGCGCCAAAGTCAGCGCAAATGGCACTAACTAACTTTGATGCTTTGCTTTCCCTTTTGCTTCTCAGCACTGCCGCCTGGAACGCTAATACGGTCAGAGTGCACCAGCCAACAACAGCAGCGGCGGCAGCAGCAAAAAAAGTTTTTAATCTTTGACCTTTGAGTCTCTTATCCTACAGTTGATGCAGTCCAAGCAGTGCGCCCAAGATGACTGCCACTACCAGTTCACATCACAGCACTTCTTTAAACATCACTTCTCTTCAGCCTCTTTACACCAGTGAGCTAATTGCACAACAACATAAAAAGAGGGCACCCCACCAAACACACACATACACACAATTGCTTGCAATTAAAAAGGCCAGTGCCACTGCTACTGTTTTACTGTTTAAATGTTGCCCGTGTGTGTTTGCTCATCTCAGTATTTGAGCATCTCTGCCGCATCTTAACAGTGTTAGTGGCTGTAACGCGGCAACAAAATCAAAATACATCACATCACTGCGAGCAAGTGCACACTTTTGATAGTTACCATTTAGTGACTAGTGGTAGACTTCATTAGATGGATATAAAGCGTGGAGAAGTGACCCCTCAAACCTACTGCTAATGCTTGTGGCTGTAAAGTGATGTGTGTGAACACCAAACCTGGCTTGACTTGAGGCGCAATTTTCCTTCTCTCTCTCTCTCTCTCTCTCTCTCTCTTTCTCTCTTTCTCTCTCTCTCTCTCTCTCTCTAAAGAGCCCTACTTTAGTTTCGATTCTGAGCAGTTACTTCCGTTTGGGTGAATTGCTGCCCGGAGGAAAGGTTTTATTGAGGAAATGTTTTGGCAGTAAAGGCTGCACTGATAATCGGCAATTAGAGAGGGGAGAGAGAGAAGAAAATAGTGCGCCATTAAAAAAAGTTGCTACCGGGCAAAGCAGTGTTTCACCCACTGGTTTTCTCACAATCACTATTGGTTGGCCGTTCGTAAATGCTCCTGCCAATGAGGATGATAATGATGATGAGGATGATGACTATTATGGTTGTTGATCAGTTTCAGCTGCTGCTCAGTTGCCTTATTCAATTACTGTCAATTGCTCTGTACCGATTTTATTACTGTTGTGCCTGTTGTGGCTGCAAACGAGTTCAACCAACAAATATAAAACATTTAAAATGACTTAATTTTGTTTGACTTTACCTTTTTTTTCATCACCAACAACTGTTGGTGGAAAATGAAAAACTGATTTTTAATTGATTGCAAAAAATGTCTTTCACCTGTTGAATGCCTTTTTAGAATTGCCATTCAAAATTAATTAAACACTGCCATTTGCTAAGTAATTGGTCACGCACAAAGAGAGAAAAAGTTTTTCAGTTTATGACTGCTTTTTACTGTTGTTAGCTTAACTGCCTCTGATTGAAATGATTTCCCTTTTGCGGCAATTAAAAATTAAGGTTGTTTTAACAACGTCAATCATAACTTTTTAGCGAGACTTTTTTTCCTTATTAGAGCAGTTTTTCAAATCATTTCGAATTTTAGTCTTTAGTTTGTCAGTTTTCACTGAACACCAACTAAACCTCAAAATTATGACTCTCGAGTTATGGTGCTGCCAGCGCCAAGGTGAAAATCAGGGTGATAAACATGTAAACTGTCGGTCAAGGTGTGTGTGTGTGTGTGTGTGTGTGTGTGTGTGTGTTTGTCCATGCTGATAACAAAAGCTGAAAAGACAGAAGTACTTTTTACCATTTTCCCTTTCTTATTTTTCATTTTGCATGTTTGCCAACCACCGCCGGTGATACACCGAGTCTGCCGGCGACAAACTGGCGCCACTTCTTGACAACCAAACACGTAAGATCGAGAATTTATTAGCCATCCAGCAGTTTTGGGTTTCAGAGGAAACAGAGAGAGAGAGAAAGAGCGAGAGATGACAGCAACCTTTCTCTCATCTAAGTTATGTCAGCAAGCCGAGTTGTGAGCTGTGAGCTTGAAGAGCTGCCAGAGAGTAGAAAAAGAACAACACTTCAAAGAAACCGAAAAGAAAAAGGGAAAAGAAAAAGGGAATAGAAGAAGAAGAAAAAACGGCAAAGAAGAAAGCTGTAAAAAGTGGTAATAATAATGTGTGCCGGTGGCAGTGTGAGGACGTACTTTCACTCACTCGCTCACATGTCAAGCGTCAAAAAGTGCTGTTCGNAGTGGTAATAATAATGTGTGCCGGTGGCAGTGTGAGGACGTACTTTCACTCACTCGCTCACATGTCAAGCGTCAAAAAGTGCTGTTCGGTTTCTTGTGCAAACCTCAATTCAGACTGAGTTGATGACTGAGTTAAGAAACAGCAGCAGCAGCACAAATGGCTAAATGGCCCGTAACAGTGTGCTGCCAGTGTCGGCTTGGCTTACAGTGAGTGAGATGGCTAGCTGGACCAAAGCTGTGTGACGTGCTTGACCGTGAAACTTGGTGTCTGTGTTTTAGTTTATTTTAAACAAACCTCACGCTCAAAAGCTCACTCACTGGTAAAGTACTGGCAGTTCTTTGGGCAGTTTTATTTATAACCGCGTTGCCTTGTTTTTTTATTGCGTCAAGTTTTCTCATTCAGCGCTCCCGGGAACAATTTTCCCCCGAAAAGGAAAAGAATTGCAGCTGATTGGTTTATGACTTTGCACAAAAAAGAACTTTTGTGTGAATGCGACCTCAGCTGCTCATTTCAAACAATATAGAGACTAACTACATGTTGAGTGCACATTTTTAAATTTTTTGAATGTTATTAAAACGGTGTTTGAGCAAAAAAGTTATGTATCTTAGAGAAGCACATCAACATTTTGCACAGTAGTATGATATCTGTTTTTGCTACCTGTCAAAGTGATAGCGCGAGGAAGCGGTGACGGATGTGTCAGTGCTGCTGCTGTTGCAGCTTTTTTATTTGCTTTAACCCGTCAACCGGCAATCAACAAAACCCCGGCAGCCCAACTACAGTTGAGCTACTGTTGCTGTTGATTGGACAACCAACTGGTGTAAACCAAAAAAGTGACTGATGAAATGAATGATATATGTGTTGTGTGGAAAAGATCATCATCGGAGCACAGTTCTATTACGCCTTTTTGCTGTCATTAAGTAGTAGCACTTTTTGTTTAGGCAAACAGTTTAGTCTTTTGTGGCTGCTGTTGAAAAATAAAAATGTACTTTTGAATTAAAAAATAATTATTGGCAACACACAGTAGAATGTACTAATTGGTTGTAGTGTAGAGCATTTAGTCATTGGTTGCTCCAGTTGTTCTAGAAATAATGTAACCGTTGCTAGTTGCTAGTGATTAATTAAGCAACTTCTCTTGTTTGCCTAACTACTAACGATCACAATTAAGTAAGTCAAGTTGAGGAGTGCAACTTGGTTGCAGTTTGACGCTTTTGCAAATGTTTTTGTTTCTGTATTTCGTCAATCAAAATGGGTTGTCTGGGTAAAAAAGTTTTCAAACAGCTGCTGCAATCAACTGAGTTTTATCCGTATCAAAATACAGCTAAGTATTCTCAACTGATTGGTTTCAATGTCATTTTGGTATGCTAATTAGGTAATTGATATCCACACGTTTGTTTTTCTTTTGTTTTCAAAACACACACACACACACTGACAGTCACGCTGACACGCCTCAGCAACGACATCAAGTGGACAAAAAGAAAAGAGAAATGAACAAATTTTCAAAATTGGCAGTGCAACCAGTCTGCGTGACATAAGCGCCTGCACGAAAAAAATGAAGGGAAAGAGAGAAATTGAAAATGATGCTAAATGTGTGTCAGTGTCATTTGTGCATTTGAGGTGCAACAGTCCTGCTTTGACTAACATCTTTGCCAACACATCGATTGGTGTCAATGCTGTCTGAATGGCTGTTTGTCTTTCTTTTTTGTTCAAGTTTTCAATTTAGCTCATTCAACTTTGGCTTTTTTTGCAAACTGATCATGTAATCAAGGTAGACAAAGTTAATGTAAAAGTGACCGCCACTAAATAAAAAAGAAAGCAAAAAACAACTTTTTTAAAAAGGTTAATCTTTTAGAAAAGATACTATTTTTTATGCAACATCAAAGAAGGAAAGGAAAAGGAAAAAACAAATTGTGCAACAGTTTTCAAGTTGCATCACAAAGGTTTTCTTTTTGGAAAGGGAAATGAGGAAAAAAAGTCATTTGATTAAAGCTGAAAATTGAAAATTAAATCAATCAACACGCTGACACCAGATATAAAAAAATAAATATTTCAAAAAAAGGGGTCACAGATGTGTGTCAAACATGTCAAAATGTGGCAAACAAACCAATTGGCTCTGGCTACACCTTGGCAAAGGCAATGGGCGCACAGCCGACTCGAGGGCCAGCGTTGCCCGTCTTTTTGCTCTCCGCCGCCTTGCCCTCCTTCCCGGTGCCCAGGTCGTCGACGCCGCCGTGAATCTGCAAAAACAAAACAGACAAAAAAAATTTAGTTTTGCACAAAACATATTTGAGGGTTCAGCTTTTCTCCTCCCCCTCCCTCCACTTACCACCACCCCTCGGCCGACAATGGAGTGCTCGCCCTTCAGCGTGACCATGCTGTCCCAAAGGTCAACCCGGGCGACGCCCTTGCTGTCCGCCTCGATGTTGCCCAGGTCGCCGACGTGTCGGGCGGCGTCTCCGGGCGCCCCGTGGCTGTGTCCGGCGGGGTTGTAGTGCGGGCCCATGCTGGTGCAGCCGTCCGAGGTGTCGCCGAACTGGTGGACGTGAAAACCGTGCTTGCCCGGCGTCAGGCCGCGCACCTCGCCCACGATGTGCACTGCGCCCTTCTCGATCTAAATTAGCATTAGTAATTTAGGGTTAAAAAATGGATGTTACCAAAGTTAATAGCCAAAAAACTGATAAAGTTTGTTCTTTGCTTACCGAGCAAATGAACTTGATGGTGCCGGAGACGGCGCCATTGGAGCCGGTCACCTTGGCCACGGCGGTCAGCGGCGGCGGCGGCGGCGCCTGACGGTTCCGCTTCGCTCCGGCCACGGCGCCCACTGCCAGCACTGCCAGTGAAAGGCAAAGCAGAAGAAGAGAGGAAGTGTTGACTGCTGTTGACTGCTTCATCTTTTGCAATTTTTTGTTTGGGTTCAACTTTTTTGGTTGGTTGGTTGATTCTGAGTTTAGTTGAAATGTTTCAGGGCAAAAACGGAAAAAAATGTGTCAGCAAAAAAAGATTGATTTAAGTTGTCTTGGTGTTTTGACTACGACTAGCAACTGTCAACTGACTAGCAACTGTTTTAAAACTACTATTCAACAAAACTACTTTTTTAAAATTATAAAGATACACAGCAATTTCACCGAAACAACAATGCAGGAAACACATCATCGCTCTTTCAGTTGCTGAACAGAGAAAACTAAAAAAATTCACTCACTCACGTGCAAGAGAGGCACACTAGTTTGTGTGACAACTGTGAGAAAACAGGAAGAAAAAGAAGAAGATGATCACCGGATGGAAAAAATGAAAGGAGAGAAGTGAAGTGAACGAAGACTGAAGACTGAAAACTGTGAAGAGAAAAGAGTGATGAGTCAAAAGCTGATAGCTGCTGCTGCTTGATTGAGGCAGGCTATATTATGTGAGGGCAGTGTGCAGGATACACACGCACATTTAAGCAACAACTAATGACCACTTTCACTTGTCGTTTTATTGCTGTACAGAAGAAAAGTAGAAAGGTTGTTTAGAAGGAAGAGTGAGAAAAAGTGAGAAACAGAAAGTTCAGTGTTCACATTGCTTGTTGCGTGCCACTGTCGCCAAACGAGTTGTTCAACAAAAAAAAGCACACAAACACACACACACCATTCAAGAACTTGCTCTCTATCTATCTCTCTCTCTCTCTCTCTTTCGTATTTTGAATTTGATCAAAGAAGACTTTGCTGTTGCTGGGCACCTTGTCAGTCAGTCAGTCAGTTCATCAATCATCACGATCAAATGAAGAAGCTTGTTCAAGAAGAAAAGGAAAAAAACAAAGTTTACATTGAAGCTATTTTTGCATGCAGAAATTTTTTTCTCTCCTGCTCTCACTCCTGTCCACTTTCACAACTTTTACTTTTATTAACTGCGGCAAAAACAGGTGAGAAAAAAGCAACAGTCGCTGAACAGGTAGTGCACCTACTGACTGACTGACTATCTAGCTGAAAAAACTGGATTCTCACATTTTCACTACCGGAAAACTTGCAACTGTTCATTAGGAGCAGCTCTTTCATCACATCCTCACCATCAACACATCAGCGAGGCTACTGAGTGTACAAACTGCATGATTGTATATTATTTGCTAAAACGCACGCAAACACTCAAACATCGCTTTTTGCAAGTTTTCGACTGCTACATTTTGTATTGACTAGTTTTTTTTGTTTTTGTTAAGTTTAGATAGCCTTTCTGATAAATTGAGCACCTTTTTAGTCACGATGAAATGAGATAGTACGTTTGTTTTTGCCAAGCAAACAGATTGTTGTTACATAACATTACATTGGCTAATGAGCGTTGCAGGATCAAACGTGCAAATCTTCAAAATAACTAAAAAATCACTGTAAAGAAGAATTTTGCAATTGAACTTGGTCTAATTTATACTTATTTTAAATAAATGCAAACTGTTTAACTTCAAAACTCTCAAAATTTTTTAAAATTGCAAAAAATAAAAATGATCACTGTGCGTACATTTAAAACAGATTATTTATTTGTCTTGTGTACAAATATATTTCTAAAGAAGTCAATTGTTTTACAATTTTCTGAAAAAAAATTTTAAAAAAAGAACACTTTTAGTAGTAGCCACCACCACCTGCTCTCTTGTACTTGGGCATGTACTCGTGTGAGTACTCTCGTTGGTAGTAATTCCTCGGTCCGTAGGAGCCGTAGCCGTAGGTGGAAGTTTGAGGAGGATAATGGTCGCGGTGGTAATTGCCACTGTAACCACCGTACTGCGGTTTCATGTACGGCATCCGTTTTTGCGGGTAGTAACTGCTTGGCTTGTACGGCTGCTTCTTGTAGCCACCATAACTGTAACCTTTTCCTTCATAGCCGCCCTCGTAGCCACTGTCGTAGCCGCTGCCGTAACCTCCGCTTCCGCTGCCGCCGCCGCCGCCCTTTTTGTTGCCCTCAATGTTGATGTCAAAGTTGATGGTAAGCGAAAAGGCTTCAAAGAGGAACGTCAAAAGGAGAAGAACAATGTAGGCAAAGTGAAGGAATTTCATCTTTAGGCAAGCTTGGTTTTTTGGCTCTAAACTAAAACGAAGAAGGTGTCAAAAACTAGCTGAATAGTTGCTGTTAAGAAAAAGGTAAATCAAGCAGTTGAAGTGTTGGGGTTTTCCAATTTAATGTAGAAAAGCGAAAACTAAAATTAAAAAGATTAAAATGATGATAAGCAATGTTGGCAATAAAAAAAGGAAAGAAACTTGTTAAAAACTAACAAAAAATTTAAAACTTACATAAAAATGTGTAAATAAATGTAGTGAAATAAGTTTTGAGTTAGATTAAATAAAATAATTAAAAATTAAACCTAAAAGTACACAAAATATAAGCTGTGTTAGCTTGGGTTTATTATTTACAAAATAGCACTCACAAGTAGAAAAGGAACGTTCATGGGGCAATCTAATGAGGGTTGATGACATTCAACTGTGTTTAAAAAATAACAACAAAACAAAATGTAAACAAAGTTATAAATTAAAAAAAGAACACTTTAAGAGGGTCAGTAACCAAAAGTCTTCATTCACCTGACTGATTGTGTACACTGGCCGACTGTACAAAGTTGCTGTGCTGACCCAAGTTGAGACAGGTGACGGACACCAGTGCAATGAGCAGTATGATTTGCAAAAGTAAGTTTAAGATCTTTTTCACTAAAACGACCGACGATGATTTTCCCTTCTGCAGCTTCTTCATCTTCATCTTCAGCCGTTTCCTGATGTCCTGTTGCCGTTTGCAACGGATGAACTTTATCGTGAAGGCAAAAAAAGACAATTTTTGGGGTGACTTGCACTGTCGCAGACAAAAATTTACTCTCGTTTTCAAATCTCCCTTTGACCATCGCTCCACTTGCTTAAATATCGGACTTATTATCATTGTCAATCTTTACAGTGAAAAAATTTAAATGAAAAAGGGGAAATGGATTGAAGGTTTGCTCAGCAGTAAAAAGGTTAATCCAACAACTGTTAGCAGTCATGTAATTTGATTTAAATACTAACAAAAAGTGTAAATTAATTCAAAAAGATGATCACATGACAACAAACAAATGCAAAAACAAAAGTTAAAATAAACAATTTTTAAATTAATGTAAAAAATACAACGCATAACAATTTACAATATTTTTGCAGCACACAACTGCCATTGATGTATTCTGTTAGACAAATTTTAAAATTATGAAAACTAAAAAACGTTTTTTCACTTGATTAATTTAATTAAATAAAATCAATATCAAGTTGTATTTATTATTAATTGAAAAAAATTTTACACAAAACTTTACAAACAAAAAAATTTTTACAAATTTTATTGAGCAAAATACACAACAAGTTTCCTATTAACTGACTAATTTAAAAGCAAACCTGAGAAATTTGACGTAGTAGAAGCATTGCTAAAGATGAATTGTAAAACAAAAAAAATTAGTGTTTTTTTGCAATGAAATCCTCAGTGTTTTCCTACCTTTGTCACCGATTGGTAGGTGATCTTTGCGCAGTTGCCGTAGGTGATGGTGTGGAAGTTGTTGGAGTGAAAGAACTCAATGTACGTGGCCACTTTCCAGCGGGCTTTCATCGACCAGCCGCTGCCGCCGCTGTTATTACTGCTTCTGCTTGTTCTCCGCTGTTTCACCGGTTGTTGCGCCCCACAGAACAAGCTGATGACTTTCTTGGCGCCGCTGTGAAAGCGGTAGGCCATCCGGGCGACCACCACTGCCAGGCCAAAGACAAAAACGTACTGCATCAGCAGGGTGAAGATCAACAGTGGGCGGATGGAGGGCGGAAAGCGCTCGCCACTGAGGATGAGCATCACCGTGAGCATCGCATTCAGCGGCAGGTTGATGGCCACAAAGCCGCCAATGGCCGGGCCGTACACTCGGTTCACGTCCTGAAGCCAGCGAAGGGCAGTGGCCAAAATCCGGTGGTACTGCTGAAAACGAGCCGGGGTGAAACGTTTTGAGCCACTGAAGTTATGCACCAGCGCCTCCAGCTGCTGCAGCTTGATGAAGGTCAGCGCCGTAACGGTGACGCCAAAGGTGGCCATCAGAGTCAGGCAGTGTATGGTGAAGTTGATGTTGAGGAGCAGTGCGACAGAGCGCAGGATGTACCAGAGCATTTCAAAGGTGGCTTGAACTGGGTGAACAGCAGCATCGGCTGCTGCATTTAGCGCTGTCAACTTCCTCAAACAGCCCACCAAAAGTGGAGCCCCAAGAAGGTCTATTTGATAATGATAAAGTGAAAAAGGTTTTATTTAAAGCAAACACAGAGAGAAGAAGAGAAAGAACGAGTTGTGACTAACTTGTCATTACTAGGCCAAAATCTAAAACGATAAAGATTAATTGAGCAAACATTTTTATGTTTTTTGCAGTCGACTTTTTGTTGATGTCGTAGTTGAACATTCGTTTAAAAAATGTATTCATTTTGCCTGAGTTTGATAGCATTTGACAGGTAGGCGGCAGGAAAGCAGTGTTTTCAGTGAGCACTAGCACTTGTTGCAAAGTTTGTCCACTAAAACCATGGTTGTTTAGGTACAACTTTTGAGAAACCTTAAGTGAGAACAACTCATGTGAAAGACCGTAAAAATGAAAAATAGAGGGCATTTTAATTAATTCGTAATAATTAAAGAACAAAATATTGCTTTTTTCAGTAAAATGGCCACTATTTAAATAGAAAAAAATCATTAAACATGATTCGGTGTATCCGTTATATAAGAAAAGTTTGTATATAAAAATGAATTTAAAATTGTTATTTTTTATTTGTTCGATCATTTTAAAGTAAGTTTTAATATAATTAAAATTTTTTAGTAAAAGACATTTTAATGGTAAATACATTATTAGTTGAACATTTGAAAAAACTTTTGAAAAAAATGAATTCATTTTAATAATTTTTAATCTATGTTTTAAAATATTTAAAAAGTAAATCAACCAATTATAAAAACTGTAATTTAACTAACCACTACAAAATTGATTTAAATAATTAATAACTGTATTTTTTGTTTAGTTTTGAATTAAGGTGTGTTTTTTACTTTACCCGTTGAAAATAGTACAAAAAAATCAATTTATTGAATGATTTTTTCTGAAAAGTAAAAGTAAACAAAAGTTGTTTTTGTTTTAATCTATTTTAATACCGGAAAAACTTACAGTACGGAAACGCACTCAAGTAAAAAATCCAAATCGTGTTTAAAAACAATTGGTTAATTTTTTATACAAAAACATTAACATAACGCAAAAAGCGTTGTTGGTTTAAATAACAAAAACAAAAATGTTTTTGTTGGGTTTTTATTGACAATAATAAAAACACACACAGAAGTCATTCAAAACTTAGTTTAAAAATTGCATATAGACTATAACTTTAATTGACTGTTCTTGCGTAAAACACACAACAAATTTTTTTATTTACTGACTAATTTAAAAGCAAATATGAGAAACTTGACGTAGTAGAAACATTGCTAAAAATGTATTAAAATAAAAAAATAAGTTTTTACAAAATTAAATCATCGGTTCCTACCTTTGCCACCGTTTGGTAGGTGATCTTTGCGCAGTTGCCGTAGGTGATTGTGTGCAGATTGCTGGTGTGAAAGAGCTCAATGTACGTGGCCACTTTCCAGCAAGCTTTCACCGACCAACCCAAACTGTTGTTACTGTTTTTAGGTCTCACTAGTAGCGTCCTGCAAAACAAACTAATAACTTTTTTGGCGCCGCTGTGCAGCATGATGGTTAGCCGGGCGACCACCACTGCCAGGCCAAAGACAAAGACGTACTGCACCAGCAGAACAAAGGTCAGCAGTGGGCGAGCGGAGGGCGGAAAGCGGCCGCCACCGAGGATGAGCATCACCGTGAGCATCGCATTCAGCGGCAGGTTGATGGCCACAAAGCCGCCGATGGCCGGGCCGTACACTCGGTTCACGTCCTGAAGAAGGCGCAGGGAGGTGGCCAGCGAGGTGTGGTACTGCCGGAAGCGGGCGGCGGTAAAGCCGCACCTCGGTTGACCTAGGTCCTGGACCTGCTGCTGCAGCTGCTGCATGTTGACGAAGGACAGCACTGTAGTGGTCACGCCAAAAGTGCCTACCAGAATGAGCGAGTGTACGGCAAAGTTGAGATTGAGCTGCATGGTGAGGGCACGCGGAATGAACCAGAGCACTTCAAGGGTCGTTTGAAGTGTGGAGCAGCCAAAACTGCTGTTCAAAGTTATCAACCTTGATAGGCAGTACAGAAAAAGTGGTACTCCTTGAATGTCTGGTGGTGGTGATGATGATAGGTGTAATTGGATTTGTTACATAAAACAGGCTAAAAAAATCAGATTAAATTTTGCTTACTTATCAGTACTAGGCCAGAGTTTAGGGCAATGAAGATTAGTTGGGCTAAAGTTTGCATGTTTTTGGCTATTGACCTTTGGTTGATGTTGCAGTCAAACAGTCGTTGAGAAAGTTGATTAACTTTGTTTGAGTGCGAGAGCAGTTGGTAGGTGGGCGGCAAAAAATCAGGACTGTTTGTGAGCACTAGAATTTGCTGTAATATTTGTCCACTAAAGCCATAATTGTTCAGGTACAGTATTTGAGATATTTTAAGCGAAAACAACTCGTATGAAAGAGCGTATAAATTGAAAAAGGCAGGCATTTTTATTAATTCGTAAAAATTAAAAAATAAAATACTGTTTTTTTCAGTAAAATTGCCTTGATTAAGGTAAAAGAAACTCATGAAACATGATTCAATGTATCCATGATAAAGGAAAAGTTTGTATACAAAAATAAATTTTATATTTTTATTTTTTATTTGTTCAATAACTTTAAAATATGTTTTTATATAGTTTAGATTGTTTAGAAAAAGACATTCAGATAATGAATTCATAATTGCAAATGTTAAAAGTTTAACGATAAAAAAATATTATTAGGCTGAAATTATACTCATTAAATCAATTTTCGAAAGTTTGTAAAAAATGAAATACCAACTTTAAAATTCAATAAAGC